AAAATGTGGGAGTTTGAGGAAAAGTATCATCAGCTGTCAAATGTCATGAATGTGCAGTCTTGGTCAATGGGCCACATGACCCAAAACTCATTATCCTCCCCAAAGCCACCACTATCAATACATGCACCAAATGCATCGACACAATAGTTTTCTACCTTGGCCTGTCGATGAAGTTATTGAAACTAAACTGCCAACTCATTTCCATTCTTCTGTTCAATTTATCACCTGTTTTGAGAGCTATACCACAATCAATTCTATTACACACTTTCCTGCAACTCCTCACTTGATAATGAAGTAATCAAAATAATCAGGGTTTTACCTATAAATATTATTTCACTTGATACTTTAGATGAATTTCAGGATCCTTGCATGCAGCGTGTCCTTAATAAGTAATTGCTGAATGGATGAACAAAATTTTGGGCTGAATCACATTATTGTATATATTCACAAAGTAATAGATCAATTCATATTTTTAGTACAGCCAGTCATGAGTTGATTCTTAAAATAAACCCATGGTGATCATTTTAGAAAAGGGAAGACAATTTTTTTAATTTGGTAAAAACAATTATACTTTAATGTATATTTTTAACCTTTCATTTTGAAATAATGTTATAATAAATTATAAAAGCTACAAAAATGATTCAAAGAGCTTCCTTACCATCTTCTGAGGGTAAGTTGCAGATGTGATACCCCTTTACCACTTCATGTTTCAGTTTGTCCTTCCTAAAAACAAGAACACTCTACTACATACCTTGAGTACAACATCAGGAAAATAACAATGATCCAATTTAATCCATCGAATCCACAGAATCCACTGATTGTGCCACAAAAGTCATTTATAGGTTTTGGATCCCATTCAAGATCACGTGCTGCATTTAATTGTCTCATCTCTTTAGCATCCTTCAATCTGGAACAATCTTTACTATCATAGTCTTGACATTTTTAAAGAATACAGGCCAGTTACTTGATTTTTCTTTCAATTTGCATTTGTCTGATGTTTTATCCTTATTTATGCATAAGAAGTGACACTACATTCTCAGCATATCATATCAGGATGCAGCACAAGGCTGATTTGTCCCATCATTGGTTTTCATTTATGTAAAATTTTACCAGCTGATTAAGATGATATCTCCCAAGTATTACAGCTGCATGTTAAGTAATAAGTATGCTGTACTTATTAATAATTAATGATGTATTAATGAACATTTTTAGAGATATACTTTGAGACTATGTAAATATCCTGTTCCCCATCAAAATTTACCCACCAATTTTAGCATCTATTGATGATTCTGACCTGAATCACTTATTAAGATGGTAGTTGCCAAATGGTGGTTTTCTGATTCTATCTTTTCTTCTTTTATTGCATTCTACTATAGAGTTCCCTTCAGTGTTTCTATCAGCACGGACTCATGGACTCTTATTTTACTCAAAGGGTTAAATTTGTCATTAACTATTTTACTCCTTAAATTATCCAAGATTTGGCCAACAGGAATCCCTTCAAGCTGACTTCTGTATTCTTTTGACCTGTCTCCATAATTCTTTAAGTACTTTTTCATTTCCTTGCACAACAAATTATTCTAGTTTCATCTACTATGCCAAGGAACCATGGTTCCTTTTAGTGGAGGATGGTATTAAGAAACCAACATCTGAGTGTTAGGTGTGTTCATTGCTACTGGGGTGCCGTTACTTTTAGGCCTTCTAAGTCGACAAACCTAGGAAATATATCACCATATACAGACACATATACACTTATATTTTTCTGTCTATCTATAATCTTTTTGGATCCAAAATCATCTCCAATTTCAAGTCACATAACTAGATCTCTTGCCTTTCTATATTGGCAATTCCCTTCTCCAGCAGTGAGATGACCAGCTCCAATTTTCTTAATGTATCTACTTGTTGGCTCAATTCCCTAGCATGTAAACCAATCTCTTGGCCATGTCAGCAAAAAAGTGTGTCCTGTCTCTATTACATACACATATATAAAACACCCCCACATATATACACATATATATGAAATCGGATATTTTATGTATAAGAAACCACACTACACAGATATATCAGGAATCCCATATAATACACAAAATGTATCAATATGAAAATACATATTTAACTCCTATAAATATCTGATTTCACATTTTTTTTTAAAGAGAAGTATACAGTAAGACTTTCTTCTGATGAGCGTGGAGCCTGCTGTTCATACTTCCACAGAATTATTCCTTTATGCTCTACTCAGCCCTCAAGGAGCTGCTAGCCTCAGAAATGCAGAGCTCCGGCTGGGTGTGGTGGCTCAAGTCTCTAATTCCAGCACTTTGGGTGGCCAAGGCAGGTGGATCACCTGAGGTCAGGAAGTCGAGACCAGCTTGGCCAACATGATGAAACCCCATCTCTATTAAAAACACACAAAAAATTAGCTGGCAGGCACCTGTAATCCCAGATACTTGGGAGGCTGAGGCAGGAGAATCGCTTGAATCTGGGAGGCGGAGGTTGCAGTGAGCCGAGATTGCACCACCATACTCCAACCTGGGCAACAAGAGCAAAACTACGTCTCAAAAAAAAAAAAAAAAAAAAAAAAAAAAAAACAAAACAGAGGCAGAATTCTTCAAAGCGGAAGTTTCCCTAGTCACTACCTTGCGCTCCATGCACGGCCTATTCTTTAACTGTGACAAACTGCCATGGCCAGGTCCACAACCGGCTTGAGCCAAGTATTGAGCCTGAGGAAGGAAATGCTTTATATTTCAGCTTTAATAACTAACTGGGACATCTGTTACAATTCTATTTTCCTCACTAGGCTGGGTATGGCATCTCTTGGTTGTAGGTTCCCCCTACACAGTTTCTGTGGCTCTTCTCGTGGACTAAGCCTACCATAACACACATGTCTGCTTGTGTATTATCCCATTCGACACTAAGGCTTCAGGGCACAGGCTGCTTCCTTTATTATCCATTTCTAATGTCAGAAGAGGGTCTAATACAGAGCAGGTGCTATTTGTCTATTGAAGGAAAGAATGAATACATCCATTAATCAATGTAGAATGGTGGGAAAAGATACAATTTGGGAAGGAGACTTTACTCTTTAACTTCTGGACCCATGTGAATGAGGAGTCCAGGTCATCCGTCCTTAAAGGCATTTAGGTATTTTATTTCAAGTATTTTTCCCCTTTTCTGATGACATACTACAATTCAGGACTAAATCTCAAATTTATTCTTGATATTGATAGCATTGATATTGCACACAAATCCCATGGTTACCGTCCAGCACTAATGGTCGTGTCCTATTTCCACCTGCAGCTTCCTGAATCTAACTACACATCGCATTTCAAAACTCCCACGTTAAAAAAGGCAGCAGTTCAAGTTATTTTCTCATTTTCTGTCTTCAACTTTTTTCTTCTTCCCCCAAGAATATCTGAGAGTTAATTTTCTCGAAAGTTCTCTGTAGTGTTCCAGATAGGAATCATCCTATAATACTCCAAATGCAGCGTGTGGTGTGCATGTTGAATAAATAAAAATGACGAGATTAGGAACAATATCGCTGACGATCGCGGTGTCCCGTTTTAATTTAGAGGGCGCCAGCAACACGTCAGTGACGGAGATTCAGAAGCTGCCTCACCCCGGACCGGGAATCCCTAAGAGAACCTTGACGCCGCTGAAGTTTCCGGACGGGGCCAGTTTGGAATTGACCAAAGGAGTCTCCGCCCGGTCGAGCCAGTCTCTCGGTTTTCTCCACGGCTTCTCGAGGATGAGGAATTTCTAGGTTTTCTCCTCCTCTGGCAAATCACGGTCTGCGCCTTCCGCGGCTCTGGGAACAGGTGAGCCGGGCGGCGGCGCCCTCGGGACGCGCTCAGGTGCCGGTCCCCGCCCGCCGGCCCCTCCCTGCAGCACGCGGTCCGGGTCCAGGTGCTGGCGCCCAGGTGCGCGGGGCACGGGGCTGCAGCTCCGCTCGGCATCCGACAGCGGGCGCCGCTGCAGCAGCTCGCGGGCCGCGGAGCTGAAAGGCTTCGCGAGTTGGGGCAGCTCCTAGCGCTCGGCCCTGCTCGGCGGCGAGAGCTCCGCCCGGGCGCCGCGTTCCTACAGCTGCCGGAGCCACCGGGCGCCGAGGGGACGGACCGACCTCCGCACACCCTTGCCGGCCCGGGCGGGCAGAGGCGGGCGAGCGGCGAACGCCCGGGAGCGCGGAGAGCCAGGCCAGCCCGGTGCGCGCCGAAGACACCCTGTGCGCCCCGCGTCCTGGCACCATGAGACGCGCCGCGCGTCCTCGCGGGCCCGGGGCTTCGCTTTCCTCTCGCTGAGCCCCTGCGCTCGCCACCACGGAAACTCGGAAAGAGGAGGCGAGGCTGTGGGGAGCGGCGCGGAGACGGACTAGACTTCCCCTCCGCCCCCAAGAGGCTGCCGGTCCCCGGTTTCCTGGGCTTCTCCAGCTTTATCATGAACCTGGCGCAAGGTTGGCTTTAGGAGAAATTCAGGAGCCGGAGGGAGAGCCAAGGCAATTCTTTGGTTGCTAAGGTAATTGTAGTTGTGACAAAAATTGGGCAAGAAACAAATGGGGGAAAACATGGTTTAAAACAGTATCCTCCCTCCCCACCCCATTAATATGTGTTGATTTCATCTCCTGGGTGTGGGTGCCTGTCCATTTCAGATGCGTGACAGGTGCCCGTGTGTGTGTGTCTGCAGTTCGGGACTGTGGAAGCACGAGCTTACATAAGTGGTTAGGCAAGCTGGCGTGTGGACTTGTGTGGGATGGGTGCAGGTCTGCATATAAATCATGTTCCTGGGTTTCTGGGTGTGAAGCGCACACCGACGGGGACGAGAGCGCAGAGGATGGCGCTTTTAGATACTTCCAGTCTTCCGATGTTGTGATCGCAGGTAGGGCAGCTTTGCCTCTAAATCAGGCATTCATTAACTTTTTCTCTGAGCAAGCTCGCCCATTTGTGGTTTGGAAGAAAAGAAAGCGAGTCTCCGCGGTGAGGTGTGGAGGGCAGGGGCGGGTGGGGAGGTTTGTTGTTTGGGAACTGCGCTAGCAAAGGACGCCGTGGCTATTCGCTTAGGAGAGGATGACAGCTGAACTGGTTGCGTGAGGAGTGAAGAGACCGTGTTTACAGTCACCGGCAGGCTGCGTAAAAAAGTGGCCCAGTGAGACAGGGAAAGTGACCCAGAAAATTTAATTTTGTTCAGAATGAAAGCTGCTGTATTTCTTTCTTTCTTTCTTTTTCTTCTTAATTTGACGGAGTAGTATTTTCCTTCTCTGTCGTTGAGACCAGTGGCATTTCTATGTTACAAACTGAAGATATTTGGGGTCTCGTCGGCTTGGAATTATCAATGCTTGGGAGGTGAGTTCTGATCAATACCTTTAACCAAAGAAAAACTGCAAATATAATCGAGATTAGGTAAAACCTACCACTGGACCCTTTTCTCTCCAGAGAAAGTGAGAGATGGAAGAACTGGGCTTGTAAGTATCAAAATGGAGTTAGAGAATGAGCTACAAGTTTGTGTGTGTATGGTCTGTCAAAAAGTGTAAAACTGAAAGGGAACTGTTAGGTTTAATGTGTTGACAACACGGCTCTTATAGATCAATTTTCATAGGCAAATAGGTAATTACATGGAGTGGGAACTGGGACGTTGGTGGGAAACTTTCTGTAAGATAAATATTCTTTATTCTTAATTTATTACTTTTTCAATGGGTGGGACTACTCTGTGAAGGAAAGTAGAGGGCTGAGGGACATTTGGTGAGACTCTTGAGAGAAAAATCTTTGTAAGCCAAATCTTGCATGCTAAATAGGGAAGGCCAAGATGATAGATTCTGAGTTCTTTGGTCCTGTACCACTGTTAAGCTAAATTGTCCTGTAAATATGATCCCAAGCACCATAAACTATGTATATGTAGAGAGAATCTATTCCCAATAACAGCCTTTTCTGAAAGAGTCTGCGAGTTCTAGAAAAGTCAGCTATTGGGAGGTATTGTGATGAAGGAGAGAGGTCACCGGTGTTTCCTTTTATATATTTATTCTGGCAGATCTTAACTTAACGATTTTCTTTAAGGAATTTCAGTTAACATTCAGTGAATTTATATTGCTGAGAGTTTCAGTAAAACAAGACTAGATTTTCTTTGAAGCAATAAATTCATCTTATCAAGTGAAACATTACGACAATGCTTTTGTGGCAGAAATTGTTTATTTAAATGAGTCCATTTAAATTATTTATTCATTTTGGATTTGCAGAATAAGATCTCCAACATAGATGTTTTTGAAGTGAATAGACCTTTCTTGAGAAAGAAAAATAAATTTAAGGTTATTGTGGACAATGAAATTTGCCAGTAATTTTGGATGTCTCATTGTCTACAGGGACATCATTTTATGTGAAAGTAGGATCATTCCATTTCTTATGTCTCTCATCTTCTCCCATGCATTTTATCCCCAACTCCTAAGACTTTGCCAGGAATTGCTGAACATTCTGTTTTGTGCCAGGGGTTAAATATCAGGGGGATGGGAATAAGGAGCTGTGTGTCACATAAACGTTTTTCAAAAGGATGCTATCAGAGATCTCAATACTGGGATTAATTTTTCCTTTAGCTTCGCAGTTAGCTTAATTCATAGTGTTCTGAACCTAGGAATGCATTTAACCTCTTCATTTTCAGTACCAGCTGGAAGGAATATATTTACCAAATTTCATCTTCATTGTAACATATGGCATGATATAAATAATTACTATACACACACTATCCTGCTGTATGGAAAGAAATAGAATTACAAAATAAACTTTCGTGTTCAGTGATATGGATATAATATTTCAAAAAACAATTTTAACTTTTCCCCTGATTCCAAAAGTAATATTTAGCTATTGAAAACAATTCAGGAAAATACAAAGAAAAAAATAAAAGTTATCTATAATTTGCTATGGAGGGGGAGCCACTATTAACATATCTTTAACTGTATATTCTTCCAAATATTATTCTAGTCATTTATTTCTACCCAGCACCCCTCCCCCACAAATTTTTATAAAATGTAACTTGTAAATATAGCTTGAAAACGTATTAAAGGCTTGGGACTGCTTATTTACAGAATGATTTTGATCAGATATTAGTTTTTCCTGGTGGTCCTTATTTTCAAAGAGAGTAGGTTCTTTCTTTTTCTGCTCTTTGAAAACCGGTGTTTGCACTTTGGGCTGGTAATGCTTGGGACTTCCTATCAGATTTAGGGATTAAAGCATCAGAAAAAAAGTAGAAAGGTCATTGGCCATTGTGGACGGGAGACCTGAGTTCTGGTTGCAGTTACTCCACCAACTTCTCCTGTGACCTCTGGGCCTCTGTTTCCCTGAAGGGCAAAAGGTACTTTTAGATTTAACTCAATAAGCTAATGACATATTTGTTGCTTTGACATGAGAATGATACTTGAAGAGGGCTTGTTCAAACACAGAAACACCTGGGGGTCATCCCCAGAGTCTCTGATTCTTTCTGTCTGGAGTGGGGCCCGAGAATGTACATATCTGACAAGTCCCTGGATGATGCTGACTCTGTTGGTTGGTGACAGTGAAAACTAGAGGGTAAGTGTATTAGGGCTGTCTTAGAGGGACAGAACTAATAGTGTGTGTATATATATGTACATATGTATGACATATGTACATATATCATATATACATATATGCTATATATGAGATATAGCTCATATATATGCTATATATGAGATATATATATGAGATATATGGCATATATATGTATATATCTCATATATATCTATAAAGGGGAGTTTATTAAGTATTAACTTACATGGTCACAAGGTCCCACAATAGGCTGTCTGTAAACTGAGGAGCAAGGAGAGCCAGTCCAAGTCCCAAAACTGAAGACATTGGAGTCAGATGTTTGAGGGCAGGAAGCATTCAGCATGGGAGAAAGATGTAAGCTGGGAGGCTAGGCTCGGCTCTCCTTTTTGTGTTTTACTGCCTGCTTTATATTCGCCAGAAGCTGATTAGATTACGCCCACCAGATTAAGGGTGGATCTGCCTTCCCCAGCCCACTGACTCAAATGTTTAATCTCTTTTGGGCAATGCCCACACAGACACACCCAGGATCAATACTCTGTATCCCTCAATGCAATCAAGATAACACTCAGTATTAACCATCAAAAAGCCTACCCCTTGTCAACTCGAACCCATATACATCTCCTGAGATCATACATAATCTTCAAATAAAGACAATAATGAGGTCATAATTGTGCATAACAAAATACAACTATCCTTCGTACAACCAGAAATGCACCAATCCCCAACACAAATACTATTGCATAAAGTTAACAATACTTAAGGCTGATATGAAGTCAATAAATCTTATGTCACATGATAAAGGAAAAGGAAATAAAATGAAGATATTTTCTTAGCACAAGTGTATACGTACACAAACATGTTTTTAACAAAAGAAGGAGGAAATACTCATGACAATTACAGTCTCTGTTTCTGCAGCTGGTCACATGGTCGTAGCTGGTATTGATGGCTACCTTCTACCCATTCAGTATTCTTTTTGCCTACAGCAAGCACCTCAGCAGATCGTGATTTTTTTTCCCTAGTGGAGTGACCCAAACCTTCATTCCTGAAGGGTCTGGACCATTTGTAGTCCTGCCTGGATTGGGCTGTTGTAGTTTCCCATTGACCTTAATCACAGGGCATGGTAATGCTAAGAGATGCCCTAATGGGTCTCCTGTGTTCCATATGTAGTCTTCCTTACCTCTGCTGTGGAGTAGTAGACTGATTTCATCTTGATAGTCTGGGTCAATCACCCTAGCCAACACTGTAACTCCCTTCTTAGCCCGTTGACTTAAAGGTAGGAGGATCCCAAACTGTCCAGGTGGCAATCTTAACTTCCAGTTTAATGAAATCATTGTTGTGTTTCCTGGTGACAGCGTTCCTCCCTCTGGAACTAAGACCTCTAGGCCAGCAGAATGTAATGTCGAGGGAACAGGAAGCAAAAATTTTGCTAATTCAGTGGGGGTGATGGTGAGTGGTGCCTCTTCCACTTCCGCTCCTTAATTCTTGGACCTGTGAATCCTGGCTATAGAAGAAACAGTACCATATATTGGATGCTGATTCAGAGCATACACGGCCCTCTGGAGAAATTTGCCCCAGTCCTGCAAAGTATTGTCACCTAGCTGGCATTGTAATTGTGACTTCAAAAGGCCATTCCACCATTCTGTCAATCCAACTGCTTCAGGAAGATGGGGAACATGGTAAGACCAGTAAATTCCGTGAGCATGAGCCCACTGCCTCACTTCTTTAGCCATGAAGTGAGTGCCTTGGTCAGAGGTAATGCTGCATGGAATACCATGATGGTGGATAAGGCATTCCGTGAGTCCACAGATGGTAGTCTTGGCAGAAGCATTGCATGCAGGATAGGCAAACCCATATCTAGAGTAAATGTCTGTTCCAGTGAGGACAAACCTCTGCCCTTTCCAGGGTGGAAGAGGTCCAATATAATCAACCTGCCACCAGGTAGCTGGCTGATCACCCTGAGGAATAGTGCCATATTGGGGGCTCAGTGCTGGTCTCTGCTGCTGGCAGTTTGGGCCCTCAGCAGTGATAGCCAGGTCAGCCTTGGTGAGTGGAAGTCCATGTTGCTGAGCCCGTGCGTAACCTCCATCCCTGCCACCGTGACCACTTTGTTCATGGGACTATTGGGTGATGACAGGGGTGACTGGGGAAAGACGCTGAGTGAGTCCACAGAACAGATCATCCTATTCATCTGATTATGAAACTCCTCCTCCGCTGAGGTCACCCGTTGGTGAGCACTTACATGGGATACAAATAGCTTCACCGTTTTTGACCACTCAGAAAGGTCCATCCACATACCTCTCTCCCAAATTTCTTTGTCACCAATTTTCCAATCATGCTTCTTCCAAGTCCCTGACCATCCAGCCAAGCCATTGACTACAGCCCATGAATTGGTATATAATCACATATTGGGCCATTTCTCCTTCCATGCAAAGTGCACAACCAGCTGTACTGCTCGAAGTTCTGCCCACTGGGAAGATTTCCCTTCACCTCTGTCCTTCAGGGATGTCCTAGAAAGGGGCTGTAGTGCTACAGCTGTCCACTTTCTGGTGGTGCCTGCATACCATGCAGAACCATCTGTGAATAGGCCCTAGTCTTCTCCTCCTCTGTCAACTGATCATAGGGAACTCCCCATTAGGCCATGGGTGCAGGCTGAGGGAGAGAAGGCAGGGTGGCAGGAGTGGAGACCATGGGCATTTGAGCCACTTTCTTGTGTAACTTACTTGTGCCTTCAGTACCTGCTTGAGCCAGATCAAGTATATACCACTTCCATTTGATGATAGAATGCTGCTGTGCAC